GATCACATCTTAAAAAACCCCGCATTCACTTACTAAGTAAAACCTCAGGAAACAGGGATAAAGTAAAGCAAAAGTAAAAGAGTGTTTCGAATCAATCCTTGCAGTCGTTGATAATACTGAGGGACGGTAAGTACTACCTGAAAATAAACTACCAAACTCAGTATTCGGTTTGGAACGATAAGGAATCTCAGAAAATACAATTAATATCTCCATTAGATCGTTCGTTTATTTTGATCTGTTTGATTACACTCAACAACATCGGATCGAATATCATCCGAAACTTTCCAGCTCTGGTAATAATAATTTTGCTGTACGCCATCATTTCGTAAACGACCTCTTTGATTCGACCCTTGTATGAAAATTCACATATGAAACTTGTCGTCTCGGAGGCAGGTCAACCTTGTTCTAGTTTACGCCTGAATATCTTAGGCTTAAGCAACCATTCAAACAGGAAACAATGATCATGTACACACAACTGCTTACACAGTAGAGAAAACAAGCAGAGAAAACTACAACTCACTAGGGCACTACCGAACGTCGGACCGTGTTTGTTGACGAAACGGGGGTTCGCCAACAGGATCGAGACCAAAACATATACCATTTGACTAGAATCTGCCTAATTTTGTACAGAATTTTTTAATTAAATTTATGGATTACATACTGTGTTCATTTTTAGTGAGCAATCAGGTATATCAAGGCGAAGCGGAGCATTAAAATGCATGCTTCCTCCCCATAACGTGTCATTAAGATCTGCTATGCACGCCAGAACTAATCTTTTCCCATCACTCTAAGGTAATCGACTGTCTATCCTTTTTTCGGCTGGCTACACTGAACGGCAGCGGAATGAATTTTTTGCTTAAAGGCATAAGAAGATAACGAGAAACTTTCACGACGCGCTGATATTCGAATTCAGCTTCTTCCAAGTACCAGTGTATCCACTGCTCGGTTTTCGTGGATATGGCTATTTTTTAGTGTCTTAAAAGGAATGAACCTGAACGCTTTCCCTTAATTGGCTGATACTCACACTGCAGCTGAAACGCCTTTTGAAACATCCATGCTCCAAAGGCAAAATCTCCTGAGACTATCAACGAGTGTCATAACCAACCACAATCCCATCATATTCCGTAGTTCTCTGGCAATAACCCTGAAATTGCTACCGCTATTTACAGTTTAAATATACCTTATCAATTTGTCTATATAATTATACAGTAAACATGCTTAATACATGCAAAATCATAAGGAATCAAATTTTAGCTGTTCCGGTAACGACAGAAGAGGTAACCCGGCACATACATTTTTGATCAAACAGATCAGACATGCTACAAACGCTTAAACCATATAACGAAAAGAATCAATGGATAAGAACCGTTTAACAGATGTTGTCATTCACGGACCACAGTGTATATAACCTAGAATATAGCGTACTTTCGGAAAGTCGAAACGTTACCATCTGTAACGCTACCGTATGATGACGCTTAGGCC